TACGTCGTGTTAGGCTCCCTGGTTGGGGACCTCGGGATGATCGTACCCGATGGATAGAGACACTGAGTGATATGGTTGAGTGCTGTAAACAGTGGCGTTCGTGCATCTTCTCAATTTCTTTACAACCTTAGACCACTGAAATTCTCCATTTTCTGTTTCACTAGTTTTCACTTTCCTGTCTTTCCCCTATTCTTCATCCAAATGGGCAACCAAAACCGCCGCACGAAGGTGTATGGTTAATGGTTGCACAAACTGAACCTAGACTTGCTGCATTTTATTCGAATATTTGGTTTTCTGGTGGATTTTTAGTCCATCATCACTGAACTGAACAAGTTATGCACTAGCATGAAACACCTTTCTCTTACCACCCATGAAATTAACTGGGGATTCTGTATGAGAGTTTCAACTACAAGTCCTCAAACTATTTTTGATGACCGTTTGGCTTTATTAGCGAGCCAAACTTGCACACATCACGATCCAGTCAGTTGATATTTGTGGTATTGATCCGCAGTTCATAGCCTTTTGCTTTACGGTTGCGAGACCTGGCTTCTCGATGTTGAGGATGGTAATCGACTTTCCGTATTTGACCACCTATGCCTTAAAAGCATTTCTCGTGTCTGGTGGGAACATCTGGTGAGCATTAACGAGGTCCGTCGTCGTGTGTTGGATGTGGATAGTCGTTCTCTAACAGAAGTAATCGCTCTACACCGCCTCCGATGGCTTGGTCACGTATTGCGTATGCCTGCCCATCGACTACCTTTCCGTGCTCTCTTTGTACGTGCCGGGCAAGGCTGGAAGAAGCGGCGCGGCCCACCGACTATCTCTCCGTACTCTCTTTGCACGTGCCGGGTAAAGCTGGAAGAATCGCCGCGGCGGTTAGACCATGACATGGTGTAGAGGTATAAAGAAGCTGGCTTCGGTTGGTGCAGCCCGCCTTCCAAGTTGGGGCCCAAGGGATGAGGGTTGTCGCTGGTTAGGGACGCTGAGAGATATGGCCCAGAATAGAGGTTAGTGGCGCGAATGCTGCACAGTTTGCCTGTCAAAATTCCGTGACCCATAAAAAAGACAAACTAACACACGCAAATTTCAAAAAGTGTACGGTGAAACAAAAAGATTGTCATCCCATTTATTTGTTATTTTTATTTATTATTTTAAGAGTTCCTTCTGTCTTACTATGTTCTGTATCCCAAGCCCCCTCCATCCCGCTATTGTTATCGTCATTATTGTTGTGGCGTTGGCACCATGCTTAATCGCAATCCGATGTGAAATATGT